CCCTGGGGATCCGAGACCTCGTATATCAAGGACTCGGCAAAGTGCTCAAAATAATAAGGACTCATCCCGAGTGCTCAAAATAGCAAGGACTTTGATATTTATGATGATTCAGACTCTGCTGCAGGAGCACAGATGGCAACTAGTTGTAATCCCCGAGCATAGCAAACCACCGGCCAGGCAGATCAAGCCATTCGAGATTGAACCAATATAATGCCTTTGAGCCAAGCAAAGTGGGGCAACTGAGCCAAAATAATGCGATTGAGCCAAACAGATTGGGTTTGAGCCGTTGATGTTTCTGATACTCTTGCTGGAATACAGATGGCAACTAGTTGCAAGCCCCAAGCACAGCGAGCGAACCATTGGCCCCACAGATCAAGCCATTCGCTCGGCAGCGAGCACACCGATTGAGCCAAACAAAAAAAATTGAGCCAAATTTAAGGTTCTTAAGGTTTAAGGCGGTCGGGTCTTAGGGTCTTTAGGGTTCGAGGGGTCTTAAGTTGTTATACGTGTGTGTGTGTGTGTGGTATATATGCGTGTATGTACACGACTGTAACCGGAAGTGTGGAGTTCCGAATAGGCTTGCGTCTGGATTTCCATCCTCAAACCGAAACCCAAACCTTCCGAAGCTAACCCACAAATCTGAATCGGGGTTCGTCTTGGGTGGATCACAACGATACAAGTATGCACATCAATTCGTTCGTGCCTTGGGCCCACACTTCGAATCGAGCATAGCAGACTAAGAACACCACGAAGTTTAAGCCCTTGCGGGTTTGCACCCTCTGGTTTGGGGTTTCAGGACCTGGTTTGAGGGTTTAGGGTTTGGGATGGCTTTGGGTGGGTTTAGGCAGGGCCCAAGTTGAGGTCCAGGTGTTCACATCGGGCTCGGGGTGTCAGTTCCTAAACCCGAGACCTCTAACCCCCTATATTCTAAACACTTAAAATAATCACAGCGATATATATGGGTGGTTGTCAAAATTATGGTCCCTTTTGGGGTACCCTAAATAATAGGTGCCGTATTATAATAAGGACCCAAAAAGGGACCATAATTTTGACAACCACCCATATAGCTAATTATCTGTACAACCTCAAGCTAGAACACCTCAAACGGGATTGGGTTTCGCGCTGGCCGCACACAGCTTCGATCTGGGTCAGTTCGGTGACCAGCTATCGATCCTTCGGAAGTTTGTCTATATAATATGCTTTTGTTAAAATTAATGAAGGTTTATTCCAGTCTAAAGTATGCAAATCTAGGGATCGAGTCTTTCGGGCAATGTCGTCTTCTGCGACAGCTCGCACTGCACATGCAGAACTTCGGATCATCGAGTCCTACGCCTCTTGCTCTGGAATTGGCTCGGTCTCCAAATACGCCGGGCTTTCAGGGCCGAATAATCATTCTGGAGCCTTGGGTGCTCAAAACAGAACGAGATGTTTAATTAGGGTTTAGGGTTTAGGGCTTAATTATGGCGGGGATGGTAGACGATACGGAATAGCTAGCCAGGGCACACCATGTACCATTTGTCGATCCAGGCTTCTTCCAGACATTCAGGCTGGCATTGGCGCGCGATACCTTAAGTGAGTTGGGCTTAATTTATTACTACAAGGTTTGATATAGCTTGTCAGGGTATAAGTTGATTTATCAAAGCCGAGAAACGTTTCGCGTACTGCATCGCCGCTTCGTCACGATATGTGTGATAGTACCGAACATTGTAAAGTTCTTCGGTCATGAAAATCCCTAAATGGTGGTAAATGTGGTGCTTCGGGCGCAGCATCCACGCAAGCCTTAGTATGTTGTTGCTATGGGTCGAGATTTGTAGGGGCTTGAACCATGAATTTTAAAGTCCTGCCAAAACTGTTCTAGTTCAACTGGGCTTCTCCCGCTTCTCCGCTGCTAATTTGGCCAACTGGAGGTAGGCAGTCAAATGTTGCAGAGCCAAATCGAGCAGGCCATCGGCTTCCTGGAAACAAGGAGTAGGAATACTTGCACATAGGTACAGAACTGCTATAAGTGATTTATAATGACAACAGAACTATAATAGCTATACAATCGCAGCTTTATGTGAAAGGTAAGGCTCCGGTTGTGTGAGGAACCGCTGAAACTTCTCCAGGTCGCAGTACCAAGCATGCAGTGCATACACACAGGTGTAGGTAAGAAACATGCGCTCCGTCGGGTGTTGTTCATAGGCCTTGCAGCATTCGTCCGCCAGCCAGCTGGTGATCACTCGCGAGTTGAAAGCCTCATATTGAAGCACCGGCCGAAGCATGGGGCCACAGGATATCCGAATTATGACAACACCGCCCTTATATTGGAAACTGATCCGAAGAATGCAATTGTTTGAAATCGTGCCAAGATGCTTTGCTACCAAAGAAACAGTACTCTTCCCCCGAAGTGACGTACATGTAGCTTTTGAACGGGGGTTGGGAACACTGAATTTTGTGTTTCCGGATAAAGTCTTTAAAGCAAATGAAGGCATGTCTCAGCTTCGATGCCTTGTCATCGCCGCGAAACCACTGAACCTGGAAAAGCTCATATAAGCAACCGCCGTGACAAAACTGAGCTATCCCCAGTTGTACCGTGTGGACGGAGCAAAAACGAATCAAGTGATAGTGGAACCTGGCCGTGTAGCATAGTGAGTTGATCGGCTCATTCAGTTGTTCTGCCAAAAATTGTGCATGGGTCCTCATTGTGCACAGCCACCGTGGCTGACGTACAAAGTCTGTGTACGGATAAAGCATGTTCGTTTTCGACGCCTTGCAGCAGTGACAAACGTCGTTGCACGACCAGTGGCTCGCCAGTTTGAAGGTATGTAGATGGTGTTTCCAGTCGCCACGGAGTTCCACGAGTCGAAACTTGTAGCCGTTGTACATTGGGTCGTTTGGCATCATGTTTGGGCCTAGGCCTCGCAAATCATCACCAGCCAGGTTCTTTGCAGGGAAAGTTCCCGAATACATTGTGTTCACGCTCCAACTTAAGAAGTCAAATACTGGCCCGATCGTATCGTATCCAAACAATCTTTCGGAGCGGATACAGAACACCGGGAAGCGGCTGCCAAACACCGTCTTCGAACCCTCGAACATCGGGAAGCCTGCCATTCCACTAGATGTAGCATAACTCTGTGCAATACGTACCATACATGTTTGTCAGAAAATAAGAGACTAGACTGACTACACAATAAAGGCCCCCCGACACCTATACCCGATCCTACCTCTTACAAGAACCTCGGGTGTATATAGAACCGCAAATCAACCCCAATAAAACCGTCTTGCAAAGTTGCTGATGTACAGGACCAAGATTTTCTCCTTAGTGATAGTGTACTCCGCTTCATCACCATATATGGCCAGCGGTACGAAGTCCGTTGAGTCGAACCCCTCCATCCAAGGAGCCTTCTGCTTCTGGAAGTGCATCCAGAAAGATTCTGAAGCAGCTCGGTCGATGCTAATCTTTCCCCGCTGAAGCAACCAGTGTGTTAGCAGGTGTGGGGCCAGGATCGGGAAATCCATTTCAATTGTCTCCTGGGACTTTATCTTGGGATCGGGTCGTGCTCGCACAGTGAGCTTGATGCTGTCCACAGGTAGATCCTTACAAACCCAACATGCAAACTTTCTACATGTGCATCATAAAGCTTATAATTAATTTCCCCGTGAAGCGAAAAGTAGCTCAACTATAGCAACGTACGAGCAACCTCTATGTTCTTCGGTGTGGTGTTGCATTGGGAGCGAACATCTCGCCATATATTGTTCTGGTAGACTCCTCTCGCACCACATGAAGCGAGGTGCTCCACAGACGCCGGCGTCGCTGAGCCAAGCTCCTACGGTGTTGGTGAGGGTAGGTTTTTGGGTTAGGGTTCTGGGCAAGGCATCTAGTCTAGTTTGGCTTCGGTGGTGGGAGGATTTGATTTGGCTTTAGGGTTTAAAGTAAGCTCGGCAACTTGAGGCTTGAAAACGGGTTCAGTTAGGTATGCCTAACTACAGAAAGAAGAACCCAAGTTCGATTATAAAAGTCTCCCGAGATTTTAAAGTTAGAACATTCGAAGTAGACACGTCACCACGAACCTTCCAACCCGAGCTCTAACAACTTAATATTATATATATATATAATCGAGTCTATGCTATATCTTTTCGTATCTAATCCCATCCAATAACCTAATCTAACCTATAATCTATCTATATATATATATATGTAGATTACCCCCCCCCCCCCAATAAGCAAAACCTAGTGACCTCACAGAGACCCTTTGCTAGCCCTGTAACCCCACACAATGTATAATACCAACCTAATCTATATATAGATTACCCCCCCAATAAGCAAAACCTAATGACCTCACAGAGTTGGCGTGTTTAATGGGGTTCAAAACATTCACGAAGTTCGGATTGGGATAAGGCTTTAGGGATTCAAGCTCAGGGCTATTATTATTTAGGGGTTCAACTCAGGGTGAGGGGGTCAGGGTTGGAAGTTCGATAGGTTCAAGGGATTGGGAACATTTTGCAAATTGGACTAGTCATGGATCAGAAGTCTGGCCCAAAGATCATAATATTGTGCTCCTGCACCTCCGACGAAGAAACACCGAGGACCGCAAAACCGGAAGCCCAAATCTAGTTTGAGCAATACACATCGCATTTACCGATTAATGTCCAAGGATCTATTGCCACGCAGTCAGCCAGCTCTTGCGCAGAAGATGCACTCCATTCCTTGTGTACGGCTTTGGTTTCAGATAGGTTTTCCACGCGGATTATGATCTTATCTGTTCGAGATTGAATTTCAGGCCATGGCAGTTGCACGGCAACGTCATGGGTTCGGGCTCCAGGCTTTTGGGGTTTAGGGTAGAATTCGAAAAGAGCACTTCTGGTTACTGAGGTAAATTAAACCCAGTAGGGCTTGCGGCTCGGGGCGTTTGTATAATGTCGGGTTTAACAAAATGTTTACACATTGAGGAGGTTCGGGCTTGGGTGGCTGGGTTTAAGGATCAGGTTTTAGGATTCAAGTTCAGGGCTGTTATATGTGGCAGTCAAAGTTGCAACTTGGGTAAGTTTTCGGGTTTGGGTTTAATTTAGAGCTGTTATAATTCGAGGCTAAAGGGATCCTTAAGCCTTCAACGAACCCTAAACCCTAGACCCTAAAGGAGGTCAACCCTAAACCCTAAGCCCCTCAACCGAAAGATAATTGGTCAAGCAAGTCTCGCCTGCACCGACTCCCGCCAGCAAGCGGCTCCGTATCATACCAGGGACACCTGCGCAGGAATCAATTCGACAGTTTTGCGTTTGCGATCAATGCCCAGGGAATCAGAAGTATCAGAAGTCCGACGTTTTTTGATCGAGCGGAGCAAGCGGTATGCGAAGACATCAGCCCAGCTAAGCGAAAATGATCCGGATGCGCATCAAAAACTGATTGCACGCTACAAAGACTGCTCATGATGCTCTAGCCCGCCTGCAGCCCCAGAATTTATTATGTATGGATGCATGCACTGTTACGCAGACAGGTTCTAAAGAGCTTCCACAGTCAGAGGCGACATCACCCCATCGGCTCCGGAGCTTTAAAATCTGCCTCTTCAGGCAGCTGCATTGGCCTTGGGCTGGGCCTTTCCTTTGGCCTTTGCTTTCGGGGCCGGACGAAGCGTACGCTTGACCGCTTTCATCTTCTCATCATACACGGCATAGCTCGATTTGAGCTTGTCATTCAAAATCTCGATCTCTGAAACAGCCCTCTTTGCCGTAACCGCCTGCTGAAGGCGCGCGTGATGCTCCTTCATCAAATTGATGTCACCCTGCATGTCCGAAACCATTGCCTTTGCAAATGCATCGCCCCTGAGCATATGAGCAAAAGCAAAAAGGTTAAGCTTCCCAGCAACACACCCCAAATAAACACTACTCACCCTATCCGGAGCACCTTATCAGTAATTACACAACACTAAACCCGAAGACCTCAAGCCCTACAAAACCCTTCTACTGATATCCTTCTCCTGCAGCTATGTAAAAGCTCAGGTCCAAGCCTCTTATTGTATGCACTATCATAGGGGCACGGGATTTAAAACTAGTAGAATTATTGCCGCGAATATGGGTTTCGGTGTTTGGGTAAAGTTTCTATTAGGGTTCGGTGTTTTAGGGTTGAGGGTTTGGGGTTTAGGGTTATAATTAATGGTACGATCCAAGGTGCATGCCGCCGGTGCGCAGCATGTTCTCCATGCCGTCTGCCTCGATGATGCGCTGCGTGCCTCTCGCCAGCAAGTCCATGGCCTCTTGTGGCGCAGGCTTTGCCTTCTTCTCTCCTCGGGGTTTCTTCGGGTTCGGAGGCGGAGGCCTCGGATTCTCGGGGCCCGGATCATTGCTGCCCCGCGCACCACTGCTTTCCCCGACATCGAGAAGGTGCGACCTTCGAATGCATAGAATACAGTATTGAGTTTAGGATCTACTAGGAATTAATAAGCCATACAGTCTACAACACACATAAATTAAAGATGACCCAGGCAAAGGCAAGCCACAGAACACCGGTGGTCCCATCATGGTCCAAGCCAACGTCGCCATGGAACCCAAACTCGAGCTCATCTTCCGACTCCGAAACCTCCTCCCGGGAGTCGAAGCACTTGAAAAGCTCCCAGTCCTGGTTGACCCCATGATAAAGTGCTTGATCTCATGCCTAGTGTTTTTACTTATCTGAGATTGGGGATTGTAGCGATTCAGCGGAGGGATTGGCCAGGATTTCGTGAGCTTCTGGGTTCGATCAACTTAAAATTTCGTCTCGGCACTTCTATTTAGGGTTTAGGATTTAGGGTTTAAGGTTGCGGGTAAATATTTGGGGTATAGGATTTTGGAGTGTTGGCCCACCTCGTTCTTGGGTTGGTCGGGATGCACCTTCCACCATTTGCCCTTGCCGCAAGGGTCCATGGATTTCTTTGAAGCACGGATGTCCTCCGCGATAGCAGCTCCATGCCTCAATGGTTTGGGATATGTTGCAATCAAAGAGTGGGGGTTTAGGGTTCTGGCACTGAAGGCACCAAAGCTAAACATAAGGATGTAGAGCAAAAGGGCTTGCGGCTTTCAGGGGGTTTCATTTATTGGTATCCATGGGCATTGATTCTTTCTGATGAGTAGCTCGTTCTTCAGTGCATCGAAGCGCTTCCAAACGTTTTTGCCGGTCCTCTTTGTGCTGTTGCGCTTTTTCGCATTCAGCACAATGGAACTTTGCATCCAATCGCAATCGCTGCTAATCCACATTTCATACATGTGGCGCATAACCGAGGTGGACCGCTTCTGGCCGTTCGGCAAAAGAGCCTTCGCCCGCACCTCCTCCGGACAGTTGGGAGAACCTGGGATTGGTAAGTCAAGGGAATCTAATTGAAACATTTGTAATATAGGGTTTAGGGTTTAGGGTTTAGGGAAGACATAATAAAAAAGTACATACATATAATATTATACTCTGCTACAGGTATTATCTACCCATATAGAGGCAGAGGTCGCAAGCTGCGATAGTACCGCATGTAGGAGTTGTGGGCCTCACGGGATCTGCGATCCGCTTCCGTCTCGTTGTTCCGATCTGGCTTCGGCTTGGGCTTGTGTGTCACACCTGGCTCCACGGCACCTGCTGGATCTGAATCCGTAGAGGGCTCTACCTTGACACGCGCCGGCACTGATCCGGCTGCTGGCACTGACTCCTTCGAGGTCTCCACCGCACCTGCTGGCACTGACTCCTTCGAGGTCTCCGCCGCACCTGCTGGCACTGACTCCTTCGTCACCGCACCTGCTGGCACTGACTCCTTCG